GCTGTCGCTGCGTCTGTGCAACAGAAGTCTGCCGGGCGCACTCTCTCCAAAGCGGATCTGTTGGAAGCTCTATCACAGAGCATTGTCGGGGAGCAGGCTTCATGGGGCATCGGCGTTTTTGATGATTGTCCATGTCAGCTTCTGTTGCAGCGAGGCGTCAGTGTCGTCGCCAACGGTGTCTTGCGACGGCGCACCGCGCCGCTGCCTGGCCGACGACTTCTGCAGGCTCGGAAGGGGCTGCATGTTGCAACATCTTCCTATACTGGTGTCTGTTGTTTGCCTGCCTCGTTTGGCTCGAAAGGGAGAAGCAAGGGAAAACGCGTTGCAGCATGTTGCACACATTGCAGCATCTTACTACACCTAGTACGTTGCCTTGCCTGCCTCGACGCTGTCTTGCGAAAGGGCCGGTGTGGAGATTTTTCTCATCTTATCAGCTGACAATACCTGCCTCGACGCTGTCTTGCGAAAGGGCCGGTGTGGAGATTTTTCTCATCTTATCAGCTGACAATACTTAGGAGAGCTGTTTGCCCGCCTCGACGCTGTCTTGCGAAAGGGCCGGTGTGGACGACTTTTTCCATCCCATGGCTTTGCTGCTGCGGAAGTTGCGCGCGGGTTATGCCGAGCAGGGCGAAGCCTGGCTCCGCACCGAGCTGGACAAGCAAAACCTGCAGGACCTGCGTGGGCTCGCTGTCGCTGCGTCTGTGCAACAGAAGTCTGCCGGGCGCACTCTCTCCAAAGCGGATCTGTTGGAAGCTCTGTCACAGAGCATTGTCGGGGAGCAGGCTTCATGGGGAATCGGCGTTTTTGATGATTGTCCATGTCAGCTTCTGTTGCAGCGAGGCGTCAGTGTCGTCGCCAGGTGGGATGTTTTGTGCGTTGTCGAGTGTTCGAACGCGAGGTAAAGTTATTACTTTTGATGTGCATTGAGGTGAAACTTGCAACCCTTCACAGAAATTGGCGTTGTCGAGTGTTCGAACTAGTACTAGTACTACTACTACCACTACCACTACTACAACTATTATTACTACTACTACTGCTACTACTACCACTACTACAAAAGACTACTACTACTACTACTACTACTGCTATTACTACTAGTACTACTACTACTACTACTACCACTACTACTACCACTACTACTGCTACTGCTACTACTGCTACTACTACTACTACTACTACTACTAGTACCACAACAACTACAACTACAACAACACTACTACTACTACTACTACGACCACGACTGCGACTACGCGACGACGACTACTACTACAACTACTACGACTACCACTACTATCACTACTACTAGTACTGGTACTGCTAGTACTACTACTGCTACTGCTACTACTACTACTACTACTACTACTACTACTGCTGCGACATAAAGTGACCATGCATAGAGTCATAGAGTCACGTTGAAACCACAGTAATCAGGGATGTCTATATAGTGAGGTTCCGGAGCTAGGAAAGGAAGACTTCTGCGTCATGTTGGACTATACTCTAAACCCGCTAAACCTGAACATTAGTGTTCATAGAGTGAACTACATCAAGTCAAGTGCGTGGTACATAGATGACTCCATGACTCTATGACTCTTTCTCACTCTGACGCTATGACTCTATAACACTATGACTCTATGATTCTGTCTCACTGTGACTCTATGACTCTATATGACTCTATGACTCTTTGAACTATGACTTGTGCTTGACATGTACTCGACTCTATTTCTCGATGACTCTATGAACTATGACTTGTACGACTCTTGACTGTATGTGACACTCCGACTCTGTGACTCCGTGCTTTTGACTCGGTGACTCTATGACCCTATACACTGGATTCTATGACGTAGCGTAACACTCTTCGCTGATGATGCTTTCGGGCCAATTGTCTTCTAGTTGTTACCCCGCGTAGTGCACCAGATGTTGACCTTTATCGCTGTCCGATCGGGTTTTGTTGCCCAGCATGGCAAATGTTCCCATTGCATAACGGTGAACGGTATAAGGATCTCTCACGATCCTCTTCCGAGCCGTGGCAGGCCGAGCTTGAGCAGATCGCAGACTTCCTGAAAGCTGGGCCCACGAACGGCGCCTCTTCGCCTTCGCTCCCCGCTCGGAGCTGAGAGCCCGCCAGGGTCAGAGCCGCCTCGAGGGAAGCTGTGAGTTCCAGGCTTCTCGTGCTTCGCAGGCGGGCCTTGGTCAAGCCCGGTTCAGTTTCGGTTCCACCCGCTCTGCAGGAAACACTGCTGAGCCTAAAAGCCAGATAGTGCCTGCACAAGCCACTAAATCCAGCTCACGAGCGTGACATGTGAAGCGTTCCAGATTCCAGATCCCGCCCCGCTCCCTGCACGAGCGGTGAAACTCGAGCCACGAAAACACACCAACTTTCAAGCGGCAAGCGCAAATCACCCACGAGGTTAAACTTGCAAGGCGATTGGTCACATTCTGAAAACCGGCTTCTCTTTTGGCGATGGCAGCTGGCCTTGTTCTTCATCCTGCTCCTCATTAGGCGACGGCGATGAATCATCTCGAAAACCCGTCCTCAGGCGAACCGTTGATCAAACGTCTTCAGCCCGCCCCCTCATTGCCGCCACGCGATGGCGGTTGATGACATTTTCTTCGGCCAGGCCCCTTAATAGGCGACGGTGGTTGTCCTTCATTATTCGATGGTCGTTTGTCACATACGTAATACCTACCCCATCATCAGGCGATGGTGCTTCGTCTTTTGTTCTGAAAATGTTTGAGCGATCGCGGTTCTGTTCTTTCACCCTTTCCCGATAGCAGTTTCCTGCATTTCTTAAACCTGCCCCCTCATGATGCTACCGGCTCCCCTGTTGGTGAAAGCCGTTGATCACACCTCTTAAACCCACCCTATCAGTAGGCGATGGCGGTTGATCCACCCCTCATTAAGCGATGGCGGTTGGTCACGCTTGTAAAGACCAGCCTCCTCGTTAAGCCACGGCAGTGAACGCACCACTTGTGAACCCGCTCACCCATTTAGCGATTGCTTTTGATCACACTTCTTACAGCGACCTCCTGATTAGTTGATGGCGGTTGATCACGCTACTTCTTAAGCGACTGATCGCACTTCTTAAACCTTTTTCCGTGTCAGGCGATCGTTGTCGATTAGTCAAACCGGCTCCTCTTCGTGCGATGTTCGTTGGTCAGCTTCTTAAGCAAGCCCCCTCATTTGGCGACAGTGGATGATCGCACTTCGTAAACCCCGCCCCATCATCAGCGCTGGCAGGTCATCACACCATTTCTTAAATCAAGAGGCGGTGTTGATTGACCACATTTCCTAGAGCAGGCTCTCGTTTGGCGATAGCAGTTCTGCAACGGGTCCGCCCACTGACTCGACCAAGGCTGTTGATCGAATTTCTGAATCCGCCTCCTTATCCGGATGATGGCAGCATATCACGATTCTGAACCCTGTCCCATGTTTGAGCCATGGCTCTTGAACTTTCACTGGCCCTGTGGGTTTTTGAACCCGCCCCTCATTGATTTGATTCATGAGATCTCATGAGCCGATGACGGCTGGTCAGACTTTTCAAGACCACCTCATCAAGCGTTGGCAGTTGATCACATCGTTTCTTAAACCGGCCCCCTCAACGGGCGATGCTGATAACGTAACGTTTCTTTAAGCCGGCCCCCATTCGGCGATGGCTTTCGATCGGTTTCGCCGTGCGTGTGTTTCGGCTTCGTCGTGCCTGTCGTCGTCGTCGCGCATGTAGTTGCTGCTTTCGTGGTAGTTGTTGCTCAATCGTTCGAAGTTTGTGAATGATCTTTTTGCTGTCACCGAAACTCCTGACACTGCACTCGGAACTGGGAAAGCCTTGCCCCGAAACTGAGGGGTCTGTTTCGAAGCTCGCGCCCGAACCTGCCACCCGAACTGTGGGCACCCCAGCCGAGGCCGCTCACGCCCGAGTAGTCGAGATTCTGGAGGAGGCGAAGGAAGCCAATCGTGACTGGGCTCCGGTTAGACCACCTCGGATTTTCGCCGAAGCCGCCGAAGTGAGGCCTGCTTGGCCAAGCGCTGCGGGTGCTGGGTGCCGACGGTGCCGAAGGACGGCGCTGGGGCAGGCGCGGCTCCGAAACGTCAGCAGAGCCGAGGCTGCGATGGTGGCGGCGCCTGAATCCTGCCGACCGCCGCCAGGCAACTGAACTTGGACTTCGACCAAGCTTACTCTACGGAGAAGCGTGACGTGGAGAAACCGAGCAAACGCACTGTGGAAGCAGCGGAGGCTGGGATATGCACAAATGCCATGAGCGAGCGTCCTCGAGTTTCAGTCGCATTTTGCGCATTCTAAAGTGTGCACAATATTGGAATCTAGGCAAAGCTCGGAACTCCAGCTCCGGAGGAAGCAAATGCTAGGCCGGAGATCTTGGGACTAAGGGCATGGGCATGACGACACCTTGCATTGCAGGTGCACTGTGATGGCGGCACTCAACGAGTTAGTCTCCGGCTCATTGGCCAATATTGGCCATGTTGGGATAAGAGTCCTCAAGCCGCGAGGGTATCGTCACGGCGCACATTGTAGCCACATGGGAGTGTCATCACAGTGGCCGTCATCCGAGGAATGCGCCAAGCTTTGGATGACATCCATCAGCTACGACAAGATGCTGTGAGTGAGTCAGGAATTCAAGTAGGGGTCCGCCAGGGCAAGTAGGCGTTTCACATGATGTTGCCTGTTAACCAGGTTTCAAGACATGTGAAGCTGACTCCACCTGGCCCGAGGGATTTCCTGGGCCTGGCCCGACTGGAGCTCATCGTGTCATCCTTACCCCTCTCAGTCACAGTCTCCTTCCACGGCCGGGTGCCGCGCAATCCCATTGCCTTGCAGAGTTGGCCACACGAAGGTGTTGCCCAATGTCTGCTGCGGTTTGACGTTTGCCTCACCGGGGTTCGGGGTTCAAAATGGTGGCTCGTGTTTGTATCTGTCTGTTGTCAGCTCTTGCTGCCCCATGATCAGTAAAGTAGCATGCGCCAATCTTCGCGGCGCTGATGCGAGGCCGAAGAATTCCAGCAGGCGGAGGCTGCCAGAGCTGAGGCAACGGACAGTCCAGGAGTCAGGGACCTGGCTTCAGGTTCCACACGGTTTGAGCCCCTCGAACGTGGTCATGATCTGACCTGATGGATCTTGTGCTACTCCGCCTTACGACACAGTAGTGGCCGCGCACAGTCAGGCTTGGCAATCCGGCCATGGGTAGCATTGTCCCGACATAGCATCGAAAACATCGTACTCTGGAGGGGCAGGGACCGTTAAGCCTGCCACTGACAGGCACCAGGCGATGTTTCAGTCTCGTGGCGATGTTTCGCCCAAATCCCCTCTAAGTCTCAGTCTGGCTGAGTTCTAACTGGGTCGCACTGCTTCGCTTGAAGGCCGCCCTCCGAATGCCAGACATTACCTACTCCGTTGTGGATCCTCTGTTGGGGAGCTTGGAGGGAAGAGAGCGAAGCGGGCCGGTCCTGTGAATGATCCGCGGTTTGAAACAGTGCCTGAACTCATGCGACCTACGGATGCTGCATGGCATAGAAAGGTGGCTCTTCACAGCTTTCACTGACGTGGCATGACAGCCAAGGTGGGGAGAAGTGACCACAACCGAGGCAGATGCATGTGGCGTTGAACGACGACCTCGGGAGGGTTCGTCTCAAGAGCACCAGCATGCATCACTATCGTCGAAGCTCTCCCCAGGTTCGCGTCAATCATTTATTCATTCGTACAGTCCTCGCACATTGACTAGGGACTAGGGTCTCAAGCGTCTCATGTCGTGCATGTGCGTGTTGCATGAGTTCCTGAGCTGACATTGGTTTCTGTGAACTATGAGTATCAAGCACGAATGCATGGGTCCCCTGCAGCCACTGCGATGCAACGGGTTAGCAGAAGCCGTTTGTCTGAAAGGCGCCATCAGCGTGGTTTCGGCTGCTTTTTTGCTGCTGTCCATGCTGCATCGTGGGCTGCAGGCGTCGGTACAGTGTTGAAAAGCCTGCCACCTTCAGGGACAATCCAGGTCGCTGTACAGCCAGTTAAGGCAGCTTTCAAACGTCGTTCGCAGGACTGGGTCCAGCAGTGTTTGGTCATGTCCCGCCGTGGAAGCCCGACTTCTGCGGAAGCCTAGCGCCTGCGTCATACTGCGCACTAGAAGTTGAAAGCAAGCCACGCTGCAACCAAGGAACATGCCAGGACATCATGCAAAGGTATCGCAACCCTCTGCCTTCAACAACTCACAATTCGCCAGTACGAAAGAAGCCAAGCGCGCGTGGGTCAAGTTCCTGTGCTCGTCGCTCTGGCTAGTTTTCAGGGTGCTATGCCTCCAATGCCGACTGGTTGGCAGTGCGAGAGTCTCTGTGGACTGCCGTTCGCAGTAAGCAGACTATGTCCGGCAATATGAACCTCGAGCCAGAATGTGTGCTTTGGCTGATGCCGCCGCAATGATGATCAGCATTGCCGCACATTGCTATCAATGCCATGATCGGTGTTATGGCTGTAGTCGTTCTGCTATCCATGACATGTTGATACCATGTGCTGCACTGATGCCAGGTGCTCATTGATATTGGCCGTTCTTCAGGCAAGCGCACGTTTATGCTTTGCAAGTATCACACCACTTGCCACGCGAGCAAACCTGTCCGTCAGAGCAGTTCCCTCCAGTCAGAAGCCATGCGGAAGAAATGCTTACAGTATAGTCGCGGCATAAGATAACCGCATGCGAGAAGCTAAGAACTATAGTGTCGGTCGATTTGTAATCGTCGGCGAACTACCCAGCCTTCAAGCAGGATTTACAAAGCCTTGCAACTCCGAGTTGATGGCCACGAAAGCGTAGCACGGGATCAGAACGAGTTTCCAAACTTGGAATACAACATGAGGATTGAGTGTCATGCCGCTTGTGGTATGAAAGCAATCTGCAACATGAGTTGAACATGAAAGTGTATGCGCATGAACGGATTTTTTCGATTGGTTCTGGGCCCGGGCCAGATTGCCCGGGCCGAAGGTGCACTTCTTTTGTGGAGTAAGTGAAAGATCCGCGGGAAAATTGTGTGCCATGTGTTCCATTAGAATCTAATCCAGGCTTTGCAGGTGCTCCTTTTTTCAGAATGCCATGGCCACTCCACAAATGGGGTTGTTGCGCTTCGCTTGCCGACAAGTGCTCATGAGCACGTCCAAACTCCAAAACGTTTAACTACTCTCGAGTCCGACTCCTCGCGATGATGGACTCAGTCCCAGTCCTCCCTTTGTGGAAGGCCCCGGTCCAAAAGCGGGGCTCCAAGAGCAATGCCTCTCAAATGCGCGTGCCAAGGTGGCAATTCTCGTCGCTGTCATTGCAGTGGATGGGGGCATGGTCTCATATGAGGCGCTGTGGTGATGAGAGTGATGCGTGGCTTTGCATGACCAGGTACTCCGAGTTGGGGAGCAAGCCGGCTAGAAGTTGCTGGCTGCAGTGTGCACATTCACAGAAGATCTCAGACACCTCATTTAGCTGCCTTCCACACGCAGAATCTGCAATTTGTGCAATGTTGTGTAAGCTTGGGGCATGTTCATGTTTAATGGGGGAAAACAAGTGCATCCAACCCGCCCAGCAGGAGAACCCAATGCTTGGTCCCAAGTTCAACCGTCTCGACGAAGCCGGCGGCAAGAATGCAGCTGGAGCGCTCAGATCTGCGTCATGTGGACATTGGGAAGGGTTTTCAGTGCATAGCTTGGCACTTAACAACCTGGTGGCAAGCTTCTTGTTGAAGAGTGCGGGTAGCGAAGTCACGATTCCGACATGAAATTTCGAATTCGCATGCTTTACTCCGGTCGTACGGGGAGCATCTGTCAGAATTCACGGGTTTCTACCTCGATGGTGTTTAAGAAGTGTGATTTCGAACAAGGCTTCAGGTAAAATGAATGCATTTTGAAAGTGTTGTTGTTCCTGAAGAAGGTCGATTTGTTCGGGGTGCCTTCTGGTTTTAGCCATAGCGAGCAAAGCAGTCAGGATCGTGCACGGCATCAGTTTGTGTCAGGCAGGAGGAGTGATGACCAAGTTCCGTCTTCGACGGCCCTTCTTAACGGCTCTTTATCTATCCTAGTGTGCGCAGTGTGCTCGTCTAACCAGAGTGCTGTGAGCTCTTTGCCGCGCAGCTTTCCAGCGCATCCACCAGTTCCGCAGAAGAAGATATCGAATTTCGTCTTACGTTTTTGTGCGGTCACACCTGCAAAGTGTGGTCCAGTCTGGTCCAGTGGTAGCATTGCTAGCAACGTCCACGGATGCGCAGCTGGGTCGTTGAATCTTGTCGTGCCCAGCAAGCAATGGGCAGGATATTCAGTTCAGCAGGGTAGTCCATTGAATTCAATTCTGCAGTTCATGGAGGTGCAACAGACCTTCCACAAGACCTGCAAAGGCCAAAATCTTGCTGCAGGGAGAATGGTGGCGACTGGCGTCAGCAGATGCCCTGGCGTGTGAGTGCCCTTGGGTCTTTGCATGTACTTCGTTCGTTGCTTGCAAGATTCAGCAAGGTTCTGCTACACATGGTGTTGCAGCATGTCATCGTATCTTGGTGTCCAAGGCGACGATGCTTCATGCAGGCTGGATCCACCTTGCTTGACCCCTGGCGACATGCAGTTCGGCTGACATGCACGAGCGGCGGCATCGGTGAGACGGATGCTGTGTTCCGTGTTGCAGACGGGCGAAAGCTGAGGCTGGCAATCTTGTCGTGCAGTTGCATGCCGGCGTCCAGCTGGAAGTCATTTGGGGCCCCACTGCCGGAACGCCTGGCCCAGCATGTGCGCAAGAGGCATGATATGGCGGGAGCCCTCAACATGTGCCGTTCTTCCGATGGCTTCAGCACTCGGGTATACTCTGGTCCATCTTGCATGGCATAAAGATGCATAGAGGGTTCTAACTTAATTCTGATTGCTGCCCAGGCTTGGCTAGTGGTCTACTTCGTCAGCGGCATCTATGCAAATCTGCTAAGCTGTGCCGGGATCTCGGCGACTGAAAGAAAGCCTGGAACAGCAACAAGATGACAAGATGACATAACGGCAGGTAGTGGCAGTCAAGAACAACATGGTTGATCTTGGTTTGGTGTTTTCTTTGCATGAGTTGCAGGTGCTTCATCCCGACACCATCGGCGTCGGATCGCTGGACCCTGAGCATCGCAAAGGGTCGCACCTGTTCCTTGTAGAGCGGGGTCCTAGGCACACGTACTCAGCGGGCGCAGCGATACTTGTATGTCAGATCGTGTCTTTCCCGATTACAACATGTCCAGGCTGGGAAGGAGCCCCCGACTTGCTACCTGCTACTGCATGCACAGATGGAAAGCCGCATGGCAATCTTCCTAGCCAAAGTCCACTGGCATGGATCGGGTAATATGTAATAAAAGGATGCTCGAAGCTTGCACTCGAAGGTCTGGTTGCCTTTGTGGACTTATTGGAGGTTGGCGCCGCCCCCGATGCGACGGGTAGGATCAACCAGCTCGGATCTGCATATCTTCGTTGCCCATGAGGCTGAGCTTCATTTTCATAACCTGGAACCAGACGCTGCCGTGGCGTCCTGATTGTGTCGCATGCAAGCTCTTTATGCCGCTGCCATGCAACTGGGATGCCCTCGTCATACTGCTGTGTGCGAAGATCTGGCAAGGCAGGTTCAGGAAGTAAGGCCTATCTGATCTCTAACCATCTCTCAATCGTCCCACAGTTTTCCGGCGTTCCAGTTGAACCCGCTTGACCTGATGCTACTGCTTGAGGAAGGGCAAGTTGCTCAGGTCTGACATCAAGATGAGAAATGTGAGGAGCCCTGCGACAAAGAAGTTGCAGAGCATGGACGGATGCGTTTGTCGAAGTTTCGGAGAAGAGTTTCTTCGGTACTCTGAATTGCCAGCAAAAATTCGAAGCTCGGACGCTATACACGCCTTGGTGCATACCTGACACAGCAACTGAGCACAAGCTGTTCAACCTGAAGGTCGGAAATGCCTTTCGAGACAAGTCATGCAATGCCAGCATCTCGAAGCTGTCTCATGTTCGGCTCAGGCACAAGTCACGTCTATCGTCCTCTCGATCCTCATGGTGCTAGTGTCTGCAACTCAGGAGAGGTGTTTCGATTCGAAGGTGTTTGGGTAGGTTAGCCCACATCACAGTGAAGTAGGCAGTTGGAGTTTCACATGCATGTCCATTGTGAAGTTGCGATGAGAGCAGAAAGCAACATGGATTCGACTGCCCTTGGGCGTCATGACCCCTTCCAAAGCGAAGCATCGGGCAGCGTTTGGGTGTGCACTTGCGATCGTGAAAGTGAGTATGGCCGTGGCACGGAGAACAGCTTCAACTCGACTCTCGAACTTGACCATCACTCGTCTTTGAATCAGATGCGGCCGAAGTGTTCACAGCAACTGCAAGGGGTCATGACGGACACCCGTGCAGAGTTTGGCGCTCTTCAGCGGGGTTCATTCAGTACTGGAAGTATGTATCACTGACACGATGTTCTCGCGGCAGTGTTGCAGATGTGAGCGGGGTCCGGGCAATCATGGGGCTTGGTGGTTCGCTTTATATTTGCCTCGTACAGGTTCAGCTTCCTGCCCCTCATGGACTTCGCTGCTCATGTCGGCGGCCTTCTCATGGGCACAGGCATCGACACGAGCGCAGACATCTCACGTAGCTTCAGCACGGGTATCAGGCACGCTCAGCACCATGGATGCCAGGTACATCCATGGTCATGTTTGGGAGCAGGCCTGTTGTCGGTGAATGGATGGTTGAAGTGCGGAAGTGCGTACCCTTCTACTATTCATACAAGCTTGGATTCGGGCATGTATCTACGCGTGTGTACTATAATGTACGAATGTAACACAAAGTTATGAAATAAGTGTCTTATACTACAATCTAGTAATCTAGTATCGTGAAGTGTATGAAAACCCAGCATGATATGGTAAGCAGGCAGGTAGGCAGGCAAGCAGACAGACAGGCTTGTGACTGCACATCCAAATTTAAAAAGGAACACAGCAAAACTTAGTGCAGAAGATGTCGCACGCTGACATAGCGACAAAGGTTCTGGGGGACTGAGAACGGAAACTGTAAACTTCTGTAAGCACACACACACACACACACACATGGGGACTGGGATGTTGATCATGCCCAGCAATCAGGCATGGACTGCAAAGCAGGTGCAAGAAATGGCAGGTCACTTCATTAGGGTCCGAGACATCTGCGATTGATAACAGTCAGCAGAATATTACAATCGCCAGATTACAAATGTTGGGTTAAGTGTGCCTGAAGATTGAAGTATTGTTGTAGGAGCTGCTTAGGCCCTTAGGCACCGCATCAGCATTTGTAGCGGAGCACGAACAAGGGCTGGAGCGCTGATTACGTCGGGGATGATAGTCGGCATTCTAGAAATCCAGGCTCTCCAGTACTACTTTCGCTATGTGAGGTGGACCAGAAATTCTTGCTGGGACTGAGTGGCTTGTTTAGATAAAAAGTCTGTGCTTGCTCTGGAGATGCTCGAGTCGTAGCTGGAATTTAGTAGATCTTTTGTGATTGTGTAGTAAAGCCTGGGCTGGTTGCGAATAGCGGCCTTGCGAAAGGCAGCAAGGTTGATGATGGGGGTTACAGGCAGCCTAGAATCAGATCAATGAATGAACCCAGTTTGGCCAACCAGCATAAAGGTGACATGAATGCCGAGTGAAACGCACTGCGGTTTCACGAGAAGTGGGACGATTGAAGTTCGGTCGAAATTCCACTGCTTAAGGCGGGCCCGGTCTCCAAGAAGCGTAGCTCTAACGCAAAAGTTTCAGGGGGTTGGGGGAACGGCTTCTACACACCATCCTTTGAAGTATTGCAACTCAAGGCAAATACAGCCTGTCAAGCCAACAGCCAATGTTCAGCAGAGGGCAGGAAGGGCTACAACTGCTGTACCGTGCAGGCTTCAGCATACGTGGTACCGCTGGGCAACAATTGTCTCCGGCTGGCTCCCTGGAATCGCCTTGAGACAAAGCAGAAGGGGAGAAGACGATACAGCAACAGGGTACTATCGAGATGGCAACAAGTAGAATGTTAGAAGATGAAGGACCTTGTTGCAACATCACTCCTGCTAGCATTGTACCAAAGCTGGTTTGGTTTACGAATACCACTGTGGTTGGTGATACCCGCGACGGTGTGGATTGGCTGAATCCGTGTGGTGTGAACTGCTTGAAGATGCAAACGGGTCTTGAAGCAATACTGGTAGGTGAGCTTTTACATCTGGTATCACCATTCGACCAAACTGCCTTCCATGAGTGGTGACCCCATGTGACTCCAAAGCACGCACTATTCCTTTGATTCTCTAGCCGGCGGAACCACATAGTGCGCAATGCATGTGACCTCATTCCGATATGATATGCTCCATATCTGGTCTCACACTCCCATTTACACAAACCCACGTGCACACGTGCAGGCAGATACAAAGACAATACTAGGGGCCAGAACACATTGAATCTCCGCACCAGCAGATCCACTGACGCTACGATCGTGCGTGAGGCGAAGTTTTTCCTTCGTCAGGTTGGGCTTCCCGCAAACCCGGCACTCCAGACGTCTCTATACGATTGTAGCGTCTTTGCATCTTGTCTGGACTGTCAGTCTGGGTGCAGTTCTGTGACAGTCTGAGATGATCCCGTCGATGCAGGTGTGTGTGTGTGGACCTCTGTTGCCAAGAGTTAGCTTTTGATAGTGCGGGGGGCATCGGGGGCTCCAACAAGTCCGGCGCTAACAAAGACGCTTGTTGGATGCCTGTGATATGGGAGCTGATCACTCCCACGTACCTGCACAGAGCCGCGCACAGTTTGAACAAAGCAAACCACGAAGCCTTGAGGCCCGATTGGTTCCTGAACCTGAAAGCTTCATGCTTTCAAGATACATCAAGCCGCGCTGGATTTCCAACAGGTTAGTGGCTGCGAGATTGTTCGTGTGTATTGTGTGTGTATGTTTGTTTGGTGTCAATCCCCTGATGCCCAGTTTCTTGGCTTCCTGCTTCTCAGAAACTGCAGGGGGGGTGTGAGTTTTCGGAAACACTGCCCACGACGACGCCTACAATCTGTGGGGATGCTTTGGAAGACAACGTTCCCATGCGTACCTGCACACCTCGCGACATAGACAAGTGTCTAATTACTCGCTGTGCGTTGTTTTTCTTCCGAGCTTTAGCTTTGAAGTTTTGGACAGAAGCCCCACGCCCGAAAAGCATTTTACGATTACGACGCTTGGGTTGTTTTGATCTCAGGCACAAGTTTGCAGAGATCAGGGGGGACAAACACAAACAACAACGAAGCCTACCTTGCTTTTATGTACTTGTATTTATGTGGTTGTGTGTATTTATACATATGTGTATATATATATACATATGTATATATATATATATATATATATATATAGACCTACGAGTTTTAGCATGCGGGGTCTAGGATTTTAGAGCCCAAGGCTGCCAGGAATTTTCGGTTTGGTATTTGGTTTTAGTTTAGGATTTGAGCGGCTAGCGCGGCCGTCCCTTGGCCGCCAGAAGATTTAATGTTTGGGATTTAGACTAGCGATGCTAGGTTCGGGGGTAAAAGGGATTTTAGGGGCTAGGGCGGCTGCGCATGCGGTGCTAATGGTTGCAGGCTTGGGGAGGGGGGTTGGGGGGTTGAGGAGTTTATGGTGTTTAGGGTTTAGCGGTTCAGGGTTGCGGGGGTTCAGGGTTTGGGAGTTTAAGGTTTAAGAGTTGATAGGGTTTCGGATCAGGGACGGAGGGTTCCGGTTGAGAGGGTTGGGGCTTTAGGCATCATGGCTTTGGGAAGGACGGGCGTTCCAAGATAGTTGGGTCGTAGCGTGCATGCGTTCCCAGCGCTGGGAGAGCACCTGCCTTCCCGGCGCTGGCAAGGGGTATTTATGAAGCAGAAAGCTCTTAGGAGGATGCACGTGTCAGGGGTGATTTTGCGATCCAAGCTAACCACCTGGGTCCCGGGTGTTTCAGATTCATGGTACAGGAATTTGGGGGCAATAGATAAAACGGCTGCAATTGTGCTATAGCTATTGGTACTTATGGTTCAGGGTGCAAGTTTTTGAGGGCTAGACTTAGACAGAGTATGTCACATACCGTATACCCATACATGCACAAATAAACGTAGGATCCGTTGCTGTATATAAATGGTAGGCTTCCTTGCTCTTTGTCTTTGTCCCCCTAATCTGGTGCCCTACGAGCTCACAGCCGACGACCACAGTGATTGTACATGTCACATGTCCAGACCAGCTTGTGGCCGCTCGAGTTGCCAGGAGTGCTGCTCTGGGCAGGGCAGAGTGTGTATGCACGCACGCAGGGACAGACAACGCCGGCAGCGCATACATGCCATGCCAGCATGTGCCGACGAATGCCACGGGACTTTTTGGATGTGTATGCAGTGCCTTTCGAGCCCTTGTGGATTGTGGGCACGTTTGCCTTTTCACTGTCTTTGGGTCATGGACCATGGGACAAGGTCGTGAGCGAACAACCCCCCCGTCCTGCTGCAGAGCTGCTCGTGGCATTACTCGGCATCAGTCACCATTGGTTGGCATGCATGAACACATGAAACCCAGAGCACACGAAGGTGAGGGCCCGTGTCTGTGGAGTTGTGCGGCCTCACGTCAAAGCAACGAACCTGAACCTGACGGGCCGCGCTGAAATTCTGCCCTCATATGACACGCAAATCGAGAATAGAAGCATAGGCCGGATGTGACGCTGTCGGGCCCCGGTCAAACTGGCCAAGATAATCACGTACTTGCATTTGTGAGTTGCTTTTCAAAAACACGGCGTCATCGGTACGCAGTCGGGACGGCAAACGTTTGGGATTCGTTGGCATTGTGTTATACTTCGCGCGCACCATTCATGTCCTTTGTCCCAGATGCTGGGTGTGTCTTGCTTGTGCGTGTGGAGTGTCCACTCCTTTGCATACTCCGACATGTCAAGACTGCAGAATAAGCATGGCCTGACACCCAGACGATGGCTCTGGACCTTACCTTCCGAAATTCCGAAAGTCGTACACCCACTTGATAGGAAGCTTGTTCATGGACGGTGAAGCTTACAAGAAGCAGGTATAGAGCCGAAGCCGTTAGCAGTTTCCCATTGCAGTATATGGCTCATATGGTGTAAGGAGAAGCATGGTTTAGCATGGCCATGCTGCAGAAGCCTAGCTGGATGTTGCAGCTTCGAGGTACTGTTATGTTCTGCGCATTGTGGATAAGCACGCTGATCCTTTTCGCGCACGCCTCAACGTGCCCAGAGAGACATGCGATAGGCCCATGTATGTCCAGGCATCAGACGGGGGGGGGTCGTTCTGCTCGGAGGCTCTTCGAAGGCAGAAGCAGCCCAAGCCTTGTAAGGCTTATACTCCAGCCAGTACTAGTACGAGTACGACTACCACTACTGCTACTCCCACTCTCACTCCTACTCCTACTGCTACGGCTCCTGCTTCTGCTCGGCTCCTCCTCCTCCTCCTCCTCCTGCTCCTATTCCTACTCCCTACAGCTATTACGACTGCTGCCACTACTGCTACCACCACCACTGCTGAAAACATGTGGCACGAAAGTGAGGGCGAAAGTTCCGCCAAAGGAAAACGAAATCGGCGAAGGAGGCCATGTCCAGAACAAAGATTGTTGATCAACGCTCATATCCAGACTGCAAGTGCTGAGGTGGAGCACACCACTGTGCAGGACTTTTTGTTGAACATTTGTCAACGTCCTAACTGTCCATGACGGACGATTTCTGTCATGGACGAGGTTGCAAAGAGTCTTGTCATAGTGGCTAGCATCAGGTTGTTGTTGACGTTTGTGGTGTTCAGTAGAAAGTCAGGTAGCTCCTTTCAGTGGCCGAAGGCCACGACATGCATGCCAGCGGCACCCGTGTTGTGGTACGTTGCAAGGGCTCAGTTCGCTCTGCAAGCACCGCCAGCACTCGGACCTGTACCGCTCCAGGAAGTTTATAACTGTAGGCCCTCGAGCAGCCGAAGGAGATCAATGAGTGTTTGAGACCAGTGCAAAAAACATTTGTCTGCGGTTCCAGTTGTGTCGGCTTCTGGCGACCTCCCTCTGTTGCTTTGCTCCCAAAGGGACCGAACGAGGAAAAAGAAGCACGGGCGTCGTGCCAAAAAGCGTATCAGTCAGCTCCTCGAGGGTTGGTTCATAGGTTTTGATCAGTGTGATCACTTTGGTCTTACTTTTGTTTGCCTGCTAGCTCTAGCGTGCCTCCTTGCTGACTTGCTTGCTAGCTTTCTTGCGTGGTTGCTTGCGCTGTGCGTCGGTGTGTCGATCGGTGCTGGTGTCGTTCGGTGCGTATGCGTGGGTGCACGGGGGCATGGGGGCGCAGGTGGGTGTGTGTGAACCTCTCTCGTTGATGAGATATGGGGCTCACCCATTCTTTCGCCAACACCTTCCACCGAGGCCTTCAGAGAGCCTGTGCAAACCCGCTCTCTCCACCCTTGTCGCATCTGGGGCCGTCGTGCCAGCTGGTGAGGAGTGGAGATGACGAGGACGAGGACTACGAGGAACACTAAGACATGTTGCCACAGCCATACACAGCCAGCAAGTGTATCTTGAGCAGAGAATCCGTCCGAGAGTGCACCTAACACTTTTTTCCAGTGTCTGTCTGTCTGTCCGTCTGTCCGTCTGTCCGTCTGTCCGTCTGTCCGTCTGTCCGTCTGTCCGTCTGTCCGTCTGTCCGTCTGTCCGTCTGTCCGTCTGTCCGTCTGTCTGTCTGTCTGTCTGTCTGTCTGTCTGTGTCGGGCTTGCGGAGCCAAAACAGTCGCGCCCCTCCATCGGAGGTCAGTGTGTGTGGGGACCCCAAACTACAACGGGATGCAGAGCGCTTTGAGATCAGAAATTCTTGCAGGGGGTGCCAGGGATGCATGCTGGACTGGCACCAACGAAGACGCCAGCATTGCATCTGTGAAGCGAGTCAGGACGCTGACTCGTGTACCTGCAAAAGCTTGTGACATACTCCATCGTGCAAGCCGTACATTGTTTTCCCTTTCATATTCGCTGTATACTGCTTCAAGTCCGACAGCCAGAGCACAGAGTGGAGTTCATGTGCAAGGTTACAGGTGTCGCTTGGCTTTTTTCGCTAGTAAAGACCGACAAGGAAATCATGAGCCTTTTGAAGCCCCACTGACAATGCTTTTCTTTTGATGTCTCAGCTGAGTTTTGAACTCATTGAAGTGCTGAGTGAAGCAGACCACTGAAGAACATTCTACCAGGGTAACCTGGGTGTTCAAGTGTGTGTGTGTGTGTGTGTGTGTTTGTGTATTATAGCCTTGTCGTCAAGGGCAATCTAGACCAGGGCACAGATGTATGCTGCCGGGGACAGGAGCTGATTTGCCTATCCTGTCCAACGAAGCTGTGGCAAGGCAGTGGATGCATACCCCAAATGCTGTTGCGGCGTATGAGGCCAAAAAAGTGAAAACATGAAATGTATGATCAGATTGACAGGTGAAGACTCTCAAAAAATTCGCAGAGATGCAAGTATCTTGCTAACCCATGTTATAGTTGTGGCTATGTCGAGGGTCACCCCAACTGTGTGTCTGTTTCTGGTCTGTCTCTCTCTCTGGCTCTGTCTCGCTGTTTGTCTCTCTTTCTCTCTCTCTTTCTCTCTGTCTCTGTCTGTGTGTCCCTGTGTCCGGGCTGTGGAGGGTGTGGGGTGCGGCGCGAGGCACGGGGGGAGAACTGGACAGAGATGTCTACAGTAAAGGCGCTTTGCGCCATATATTGCTGCAGACGTCGACGGGTAGAAAGTACGAGGGTCAGTCTTGCTCCGCAGGAAATTGAGTTGTGCTCGGCCAGCGATCAAATCAGACAGTAGATTAAACAAGCTAGTTTGTATTCTTGTAGGAGACGGATCATACAAGACTGAGCAGACTGAGCATTCACTCCGACTATCACCAAACGAGATACAGCTGGAGCAGCTGCACCAGGATTTTATACTAAAGCTGGGTCAAACGCAGCGGGCCGAGCATGTCGCTGATCGCACCTCCTGAAGGCTCCGCGGAGTTGCAAGAGCCAGGTTTGGACCGTAGTGATCTCTGACGGTGACGTCGCATGGACAGGGAAGTTCGTTCAACAGAAGTTGCGAGAGCCCGGATGCATGTATAGCCATGTGGAGATATTAAAACCTAAGAAACTCGAACCTGGAAAGCCAATCAGTACTAATATCATGTTGCAGTAGGGCAGTTCCGAAGGCATCGCTCAGAACGACATGAAATCCTATTCTCGTGCTCCATCTTGTCTCAAGTCAGTGTGAATCCTCGCCTTGTGTGCAGCTCTACCAGGGCCGATGACCTCCACGGAGGAATCGACTGTAGCGTCGGAATCCTGATCGATCTTTGCTTCAGTGTTCTCTGTTGGTACATCGCAGGAGGTTCTGGCAGCATGTAGATTTGAGACTTGCAGTCGCTGGGGTTGAGTTCGATTCTTTTAGACTTTGCATCGCCTCACAGCTCAGTTTGGAGCTACTCGTACCCCTTACGTAGTCTTAGACTGGCCTCGGCGGAGTGGACCGCACAATTCGATATACTGCGAAACAAATACATTTGCACTTTATGCCTTCGCAGCTGCTGCGTTTCTGCGTTTCGCCGACTGCAGGCCAGACACACCAGGCTCGTCTGACGTGTCGGCGCCTTCTGCAGGTGGGGAGGGGGCAGTAGTTTCGATAACAGTTCAGGAAACTTGATCGCGCTGCTCAAGTTTCCTGACTCTCTGCACTGCGACATGGAGGGATGTAGGCGCTGCGCTTCTTATCGGCTCTTTCGTTCTCAAGCCAGGCCAAACATCTGGACCGAGAAGGCTGGGATGCCGAGAGTCCACAGCGAGCACTCTGCAAAGACGTCCAGCGAGACGCAAACTCCAACGTTGTCCCCCCTCGGACCTCATGCAGACACGCGAAGCCATATCCCAAGTCGCTCCCAGTTGGGGCATTGCATCGTAGAACTCCATCTCATCTCACCCCGCCCTGAGAGCAGTCGTTCACAGAATCGCACATCATGTCGGCGCCCGAGGATCACGGCCGGTACAGGGGCATCGAGCCGCCTTTGCCACTTGCTTGCGGTTTACTGTAGCGACAGCAGCAGTGGGGGCTGGGTGAGCTGATTTTCCATGACAGGAAGAATCGCTCTGAGGACGAACTGAAGCTATTTGCCGTAAGGGTCCTCTTGTCAAGCCCGAAGTTGGCCCGAGCAACGTAGTGTGCAATCCCGCGATTGAGTTTTGAGGTCGGGCTTTGGGAAAAGATGTCCCTCGGCCTTTGATGGCCCGGGTCTTCCGAGAGGAGAAGCAGGCAAAAGCAAGCATAAGTCTGATGTACACGTCAAGCCAAGCCATCTAAGGCTATCTAAATGCCGCCCAGACATGTGAGGGTCACAACGCAGAAGGTGGCTGGCAGAGTTTTCCCCACAGCCTTCACCGCCTGTGAAGGAGCCACAAGAGAGTGTCGGCACAAGGACCGCAGCTTCGCGAGAGACGGGCCTTAATCTGTCCACGCTCTTGCCCGCAATTCGAAGGAGTGTTCCAGCTCCCGGACCTTGCCCTCGCAGCGTGGCAAGGGGCCCAAGACATGACCGTGAAGACGGCATTCCGGGATTCTAGCATCTCACAAATGCGTGGACCAGACCTGTCGTGAGCGATTGGACAGGGTACATAAAGTACTGTTTGCATTTCTTGGGATGCACAATAAGCCAGCACAAGCATGCTGCTGTTCAAAGTGCCATTCTTGCAACGGTTTCCTGAACTTTCATTCCAGTCAGATTGGTCCGGCCCTCGTGTGCTTCGGTGCCTCTCGACTTGCTTCGGCTTGTAGCAGAACTGCAGGGCCAAGTCTGGCTTCAGTCGAGACGCTTGATCAGCGCATGATTTCCGGGGCTTGCCGACAAGGCAAAGGCTTACATCGATAATCGTGCTCTCGGCAGACCGGCAGACACGTGCTGCGCGGAGAGTCCTGGGAACAAGGCTCCGATCCTTGCGCGGCCTGCAGCCTGGGCAGCGGCAGAGGCGCCGCCTTTGGGATGGCACTGCTCCGAAGGTCTGCACCTGTGGCAGCTGCCAGGTCATCCCGCGAAGTGCCAGAGCACTGGGTACCAGGTCCACGCCAGGCTTTGCGAGGGCCGCGACATGTCGTCTCGACCTGCAATGTACTCTTTGCCTTCCCAACACCAACCCGGGAACCTTCAGCGCAGGCCTCGGACCGCGAGCGCGAGCAGGCCCAGGGCATGCCGCTCTGGGATTGGCTGCAGGCATGAGACTTCTTTTCTAGTCTTGTCTTCTTGTCTTGGCTTGATTACTCTAGGCTTCCTGCATGTTCCTGGCGTTGCCGATGCCTCTGGCGGAGGGAGCCGCCAGGTCGTACAGGTGCAGCTCCAAGTCCTCCGCGCCAAAGCCCTGAGCGGGCCCCAATCGCAGTGTGCAGGCATGTCCACAGCCCTCTGTCAAGGGATGCTAGGGCTGCTATATGCTGCTATGCTATGCTGTAGAGCAGTGCTATGCAGGTGTAAGGTAACTCTCCCCTCCACACACAGCCTAGCTTGCACCTTGAGAGCGGCGCTTGACTGACCAAGGCGCGGAGCACTCGCAGCAACAGCGCATCGCTTAGCGAACACTTTGAACCCGTGCGCTTACCTCCATAGCTCCCGACGAGTTTTAACTCCTGCTGCGGCAGCCAAGAGCAGCTCTTTCAGCTTTACATGGCCGGTTTGGGCTTGCTTGTCATGCATGAAGGGCCTTGACTATTGGTGAAATCCAAGGAAGGCGATCACAATCTACCCTTCTTTTGCCCAGTAGTATCCAGAAGCGAGACCATGCGAGACCATACCGATCTGAGAAGGTCCTTCGAGCCCGCGGCTCCGAGGCCGAAAAGAGCTAGAGCAGCAGAAGGCCTCGCTATGCCTCGCTGCATAGCGCAATCGTGCGCGAAAGTCAGCTTCTATCGTCTGGACCTTGCGCATGCTGGGCAGATCTGGGCAGGTGGCACTGGAAGTGCAGATCGACGAGGCGAACCGTTCCCGGGTGGCGCTCGAGCGACTGCTCACCGAGGCGGGGGGCCGAGCCGCCTCTTGGCGCCTCTTGCCAGCACTGGGCAGAGCTTCTGCCAGGAGAGGTCCCGCGGCGCAGCTGACAGAGTTCTGGTCTCGATTCAGCTGTTACCTGTCGAGAATGCCGTGGTGACGTGTGGTCGCGAAGCTCTATCAAAAGCTTTTGCAACCAATCTACTTTTGGTGATTTAGTGCATCTGCTCAATCAAGGCCAGGCTTGCAGCTCTGGGTGCGAGAATCGAGCAGTCCTGCCCTTGGGGAGCCTATTCCGATCTGAAACTGCGAGACTGTCAGCTTGCAGCTTCCGCTTCGATGTGCTTGGGGCTTAGCGCAGATGCGCTTTGCATGTGGTACCGGGAAACATTAGCCGAACTGTGCCACTTGGGTCTTTCGGGTTTAGGGCAGGTGGACCAAGCGATCCGAGTGCTCGAAAACACTTAGCCACGCAAAGCATTCCTGCGATTGTCAGACTCAGACTGAATTCTTCTCTCATCATCTTGGGATCGAGGACGTTTCCTTATGTTGCTAAACAAATTTTGCAGTCTGCGCTCCCTAGGAGCAGACCAGGTAGCTTGGTACCCTAGGACTTTAGCAACTTCGAAAATGAGCAAAAGTGTAACCGATAAGGAATTGAATTTGGCCTCCCCCGCGGCCGGCGAGGGACTGGAAGGAACGTGACTTGTGTTGAAGATGTGCACGGCCGGAGCTGCGGAACCGCCGTGACCCCTGCCCGGGGCGCCTCTCACCTCTCAGTAGCTGAGTGGATACACTTTACACTTTTTGGGAGAATACTACCCACCAAAATAATGAAAGTGTGCACTTTGGGGGGCTTATAAACTCAGCAACTAAGACCTAGAGTAAGTGAACCTACTTCACGTCGTCCATCGTGGAAGAACACTTTTTGATGAAAAGTAATGCTGTCCGTTGCTTTTCTGAGCCCGACGAAGGAGTCGTGGATGAACGGACGAACTATTGACACCTTCGAGAATGCACTCTTGACCCGTCTTAACGCGCTCAACAAGGATTCCTGAAGTCGTTCAGTCTTCGAAAGAGATGTGCAACACCTCTCCGATGGAATCTGGTCATGTACTACTGGTACTTGGGGCTTCCACCATCCAGAGTGAAAGGCTGGAGCAAAGCCGCCGGACCGGCCCTCGCGTCGTCCAGGACAGACCAGTGTACATATGTAGCAGGCTAAGGCTAGGGCTGGGCACACTGAAAATAGGTTGGGAGCACACGGAAAGGCCCCATGACTATTCATCATGGAAATCCTCCTAGAGCCTAGAGCTGTCTTTGCGAAGTTTCCATGCTGTCAACTCAGGAGAATCGGACACTCCACACAGAGCTGGAGGCAGCGCTATGCTGCTTTGCACTGGTCAGTCAGTTGTCAGCTAGATGCTAGCTCCTTTATTGGACTCTTGGCGACAGAGCTGCAGGCTCAATCGCAGCAAATCGAAGTTCTCCGGCAGCAGGCTGGCCTTTTCGCTGGTTGCGGCGGGTTGGACAGCTGCCTGAAAATTTGATGCCTTTTAGATCGAGTTCTCGGCTTCAGGTTCAACTGCTGAGGGATGGACATATGGCAGGGACCACAGTAATTGCTAGCAGCTGCGCAATTGTCAATATTCAGACTGGACAGGGCAGCATGGACAGCTGAACAATGATCCGATCAAGACTCTTGAAGTGAAAGCGATGTGTGAACGGATGTGAACGGGCGGAGTCCGAGCAAAGCCGCATGGGCAGCTGGGAGATGCTGGGAGCACCAACCAAAGACCTCCCCAATACTACTCGTACCGCCTGCCGTTTCGTGACGATTCTGTGCAAGCGCTGAAGGCCGAGCCTGAGCTGAAGGAGGCATGACTAGCCTAGCTTTGGCGGCCTCGGGTCCCTTCAGAAGATAAGACTCATTCCACTGGCAGGAAAATCTTCGCCTGCGCAGAGACCTGGAGCACAGCCGGGCCATGCTGTCACGCCAGGGCCTCAGGCAAGAGCCTGCGAATGCTGCAAAGTTTGAGGCATGCCAGCTTGCACGGTCCAACAGCTGAAACTTCGCTCCGAGGGGGTTGCCATCATAGTTGAGAAGCACTTGTTATCCGCTTCATGGTTTTCCGGTGGAGACGCCAGTGGAGCTCCAAAATGCGACGCTCTGACATGTTCGGGAGCACACATGCTTCCAGAGCTACGAAACCTCTGCAACACTAGTCTGCCGTTTCAGTTGCATGTGGTCGCTTTGCTGAGCATGGGTAATCGGAAGGATGCGCGCACGCACGCACGTCTTCCTGTAGATCCGTGCATTTCGAAGCACTTGCTGGTACCAGCATGTACGGAAGCGGTGAAGCTGTAACCACATCCTTGTTTCAGGCTACACTGATGAGCTTGCCACGATCATGTCATGGCCTCGGACACTGCGGCGGCAGTCTCGATTGTTGCATACAGCTGCTGCGAGCCTCTCGAGTGGCAAGGCCTGGTATGCAAAAAGTCATCCACAAGTTTCAATGCGATTTGCAGCCTGGCAGGAGATTTTTTGCCCGGGAAAAGTTGCAGAATTGCTGCATTGAACAGCTTTGAGTGCGATTTGTTAAACTGGCTTCACTTCCGGCCTTGGGCCTGGAGACGTTGGAAAGCATGCCGTTTTCTCCTGATCGAGCATCAGGAGCGGCGAGGTCTTGGACATTCCTGTCGAGGAGCCTTCGAGTTTTGTCGGGATACCTCGCACCGGTCTGGTTGGGAGAGGATTGCGTGGCAGCTGAAGGGACAAGCGCCCAGATGAGGTGAGGACTGCAAAAGGGCTGGAAGACTTGGATGGATACCGGCCAATCTGTATCAGTTCCCTGACACAGGCAAGACCTCTGGCCCATGAACCTTCATGCTGGCCGCTTGAGGCACCGTCCTCCTCCGCCGCCAGAAGCCCTCAGCGAAAGAAGGCCGTGAGGGACTCAGTGTGAAGAAGGCCTCGAGCCACGGCTTCAGATCTTCGCCTAGGTGTCCTTCTGTCCCGGCTAGGCGTGCTGGCAGTCCCGGTGCTGGGCCAGGCTGGGGGCCGCTGGATCTGAGCTCAGAGCAGACGACAGTATTCTTACACTTCGCAGGCAGAGCCAGCGGAGCCAGCGGAGCAAGCGCACGGACAGCTACCGGACCTGCCTCGGAGCTGCAGTGAAAGATTAGTCTAAGACCTGTGGCATGCTGCGGCCATGAGACACTTTCCGCCATGCAAGGCAGGGCGTCTGTCTGGCTGCCTCTCCAGGCTCAGTTCAGAAAGCGGCACGAGCACCTTCAACATGCCGCTCAAGCCTTTCTAGGGGTGCAAGACGCCAAGGAACGACAAACTGTTTGTCAAAGGCCTCCCTGTGCATGCTGCCTCGACTTTCGTACTACAAAGATTTGTGCTTCCACCTCGCGGTCCAAGGAAAAGTTGAGGCAGCACGCATTTTTTGACGAATGCTCTGCGATTTTGTGGTTTAGGGGAATTTGGCTTGATTTCGAACATTGCATTCCACCTCGGCTTTTTGCGTGCTACTGAGGCAGCACACAAAAATCTTTGTAGCACCGAGGCAGCATGCGTAGGTGAAGTGGTGGTATCAGCAGAAAGTGGCGAATCATGCTGAATTGCATGGGGCTTGGAAATTGCAGGCTTGCAGACGAGAACATGGCCGTGCAGCGACGAAGCGCAGGCCAAACGTTAGCGCTTTAGCTTTTCGGAAATTAGTTGCTCTGGTACTAGTATACTGTGGTTACTGGCAGCCATCAAGATCACGAGACAAGTGAATGTTGTTGCGGAACTCTCCACGAAGCTTATGCAGTCCTCGCGTTACTTTGACGGAAGCTGCTCGTTCAATCCAGAAGCAAAGGCCTGGAACCTCTGCATCTAGGACTTTTCTCTGCCGTTGCAGAAACACTGCAAGGCATCCAACATGCGCCGGATCACAAAGCTGCCGAGTGTTTGGATCTGCCAACCTGAACTTTAAATTTCTGCCCTACAGCTATGGTCTTACGCTAAAATCAGGCTCGAAGGCAAGATGAGGGTCAGTGCTGCATTTGCTGCAAACACATACCCACAATGTGATTATGTCGCAGTGCTTTGCGAGAGGCAATGTCGGCCAACAGCAGATGCGGGTTTCCCGGCGCACTCCTTCTCCGGTGCAACGTAAGGCATCTACGGCAATGCGTGTATGGTGCAGCAGCAGCAGCTCGAGGGTCAAGCCTTGGTGCCAAGTCGAAGTCCAACTCTGTCGTCGGAAAGGGCTAACTTAGCTCCGGGAGGCGACAGTTTTGGAGCCTGCAGCCTTCGGGTCTGGCTTAAGTGACAAGCTCAAGTTGCAGCTGGCAGGCGAGTTTATGCTCCGTGGCGGAAGAGCCACCGCGCTGGCGCTTCTGAGCTCACAAGCAGGCAGAGCGAGAGTGGTAGCCCACACCGGCTCGTTTTGGGGTCACGACCTGCCACAACCTGCCCCCACCACCCTGTGCACCTGGCGAGAGGTTTGGAGCCTTCATTGAGACTGATTAGCCGGCCCCAGAAAGATTACTGGATTTGGTGCCGAAGTGCCGCAGCAGCAAAAGAAGCGCTGCCATGTTTTTTCAGGTGTATCGGAGATGGGAGAAGGCCACAGCAGGCTACCAGAGTGTGCGGTATTGGTGCAGGCAAGATCTGAGTGCCACGCATCGGGAGCTGCACTGGCCTTTTGCGAATGTGCCGTGGTGGAGCCCAAAGTCTTGGCTTGCAGTAAGATTGATGCAGTGTCATGTAGCTGCAACACTTCACCTTCCGGGTATGCTATGCATGATCAAAACTTCACAGGATTAGGGATCGGACATACGACATACAGTTCCAGTCACCACTTGCTTACAAACAAAGCATGGGAGCTGCCCTGTGCAACCTGGTGCCTCTCAAGCCGTACAGCCTCATTGAGCCCTCGTCCCAGAATCTCTGCAAGCGGAAGCAGCTGCTTAGAGGTTGAGGAGGCCCTCTGTCAGGATTCGCGAACGTCCGCGCTACTGTCGAGGGCAGGTGAGAAGTGTGCATCGAGCTCCCTAAGGTGGAGGTATGACATCAGCTACATTGCCCGTGGCAAGGCCATGTCGCGCCTCGTAGTCACGAGCGAGAAAGCGGAATGGAACAGTGCGGACGGATGCATGTGAGAGCGGAAAGGGCGAATCCTGAAAGGATGACTGCGTTGGCTCCGGAGCGTTTGGCCAAGTTCGCCCGTGCGATGCCTAGTGTCGCCGGGCTTGGAGATTTCCGATGCGCCATGTTCGTTCATGTGTTATGGAGACTACTTGGGGCTACAGTAGATCTTCAGGTACAAATGCCACTCGCTCTGCAAAGATCAGAAGGGTTAAAGTTGCAGGGCTTGCCGCAAGCTTGCTGTCTGGGTCTCAAAAAGGATGCTGAGAGAATCCTGCACATGATCCTGCATGACGAGCGACTCTTCATACTTAAGGTGTGTGGAGCTGAGTACACGAGCCGATCGATGCGTGCCGATGCTCAGCGTCCGCACGATTGTTGGGACACGGCGCGTGTGGAACGTCTGTGCGACCTTGTCTGGCAGCAGGTGAAGAGTATCGTGAAAGAGACGTGGTGGACACGGCCTGCTGCCAGGCACTGAGTCATTGAGATGTATCGTGGATAGGAGCCTCGGCCACCATACGAAGCGAGAAAAGGCAACGCAGATCCTGTCTTGAGCTGTATGTGGAAGGAAGGAGTTACGTGCTGCCGGGCATGTGAGTGCCTCTTTGAGTGTGGTGCTTTGCACAGCGACATGGCGAGGTTGTACAGGAAATCGAGCTGCTTGAGGCAAGAGCAAGCCCTTTTTGAGTTGTCGCATCGCGAGATCATGCCTCAGATGGTCTCCGGGAAGCACCCGAACATCGTCGAGTATTACGAGTGCTTCGAGGACTGCGTGCCTTTGCCTACAGCCGGCTCGCCTAATGTATACCGCCGTAAGTATGGCATCAAAGATCAGCGGTGCCACCACCAAGAATCTGTGGATATCTGTGGTGTCATGCGTCAGTGCTGGAACACTGCTGACTTTCGTCAGATTGACAAGGACATGTCGAGAATGCCACGATGTCTCCGTCATGATGTTGCTATCGACGCATACGCCTGTCCGGTATCTACGTCTAAACCCAACCTGGTGGTCAGGGATGCCACGGGTGGATTTTGGGTGCGAGCTGCTCCAAAGCTGGCACTCCGACTGTCTGGTACGTATATTGACATGCGCCGGCCAGAGGAGATCAGCGTCATCCACTTGGTTCTCGAGTCCGGGCCTGATGACCGATTGAATGTGCGTGTCTCTGCGAGCGGTGCATTGCCGGTACAAGTAGGTGCAGAGGCTCGCTTTCGCTTGTGCTAGACCGGTCAGACGATCAGACCGTTATCCGTGTCGGATCCTTTGCCGAGGTATTGCTCCAAAGGCAATCTCAGCAACGTCATCCTGTCCAAGAGGTTCAAAGAAGGCTTGGGTCGATCCTTGGTGTTTCGCATATAGCATTGCTAAGCCTTTTTCTTGTGCATCGGCTTGAGGTTTTGATGCCTCACTGTTAGTAGGCTGTGGTAGGTGTGGCTGTGTTCCGTACACACCCCCAAAAGCACATCCTCGGCGTCCGAGTCTTTGTCGATGCCTTCGTCAGTGTCGCATCCTGCTTGCTGAGATGACAGGTGGCGAGACATTGACAGCCAAGATCTCTTACCAGATTGCAGGGGCACCTCGGCTGGCCATGCAAGAAACAACAGAGGAAAAAGTGGAGAGAGTATGCTCGGGCAGATTGTTGCCTGTGTGAACGCTATCGCTCCGTGGCAGTGCTCGGAAATCCAACCAAAACCTCCGCAAGAATGTCCTTGGATCCCAGGCTTTGCAGTTCTTGAGGGACCTGCAAATTGTCCATCGAGATATAAAGCCGGGCTCCCAGGCCATGCCTTCCGCCGTTCGCAGCCTCCATTGCCTTCCAGTGGGAAGAGTACCGTGACTGCTTGACACGTGATCAGCCTCCACCATACACCAACGCAGCACAGCCACGATAGACCACAGTCGAACCGACTGCTTTCGTTCATGTCTGAAGCTGCACGGCTTGATCCTCTTCCTGCATCAATCTCATCAACTTGTACGTCAGAAGCCGGATGCTGCAAGCAACCACCACATAGAGTGGAACAAGAGCCAGCACAGACTGCTTTAGCTGGTAGTCCAGGATCTCATAAAATGGCGATCTGGTCGATGGCCAGAACGAGAATTTGTGCTTTGATCCTTGTTGTATGGGCTCATGACCACAGACAGGCTCTGCGAATGCACGTACCGCATATGCATGCTTGAGCGTTTGGGAGGGCTTGCTACAGCGCAAGGGGTGGCTCGAAGAGGAAGACCTGGTCTTGTTAGGAGCATGCTCAGATCTGTGAAGCCCGGAATGAAGCCCTGCAAGGCCCTCGAATCTGGTGTTCGCAGAGGACGAGGCATTGAGAGAATTGGACCAGGGTGTCAGGCTCGTGTTAACGTTTGAAGCCCCGACCTCGAAGAGTCCAAGGGCCCACCGGGTCCCAAGCCGCTTTGAAGCGCAGCTTCAAACGGCTTCGGCCAACAGGGCCATGGCAGTCGGCGTGTTGTCTGGCTGCTGCTTGCATTTCCCAGCAAACGAGCTCCCTCGACACAGCCGAAACTCCTCAACCGCACGAATACTACACCTGTCATGCAGCGCATGCAGGTTGTAAAGCTCACCGACTTCGGCTGCGCTTGCTTGGCGGATGATGCTGTACAGGCGAGAGCATTTTGCTTGTATCTTTGCCACCTGCTGCCGCCTGGGCGTAAGTGTACAGAAGCCTAATTACATGACATGGTGATTAATGCTTGGACGTAGCATGGAGGCGCACGCCTCGTTCGAGCATATCATGCAACTGCTTCGCAGGATTTATTGCCATCTTTCATGTGACGAGCTTATGGCGCCTTACAGCCACCAGATCGCCAGGGGGTCGCATCGTAAACCCCCAGGTTTGGACTAGGATCGGCGAAAGGATGCAGCAACCCTGCATTTGCTCATCTCCAGAAAGACAACCATGTTTTCTAGTCGGTGCAAGTCTCGTCTTGCCATCTGACCGTAGAAGCTGACTGTCTCGCGCACCTCAACTTACTCGCCTTCCGCGGTCCGGGTCAGTCAGCTTGACGGAGCACGGGAGTAGAGCGGGCATGAGAAAGCTTTAGGGAATGAGTCGGTATGATATCTGTTCAATCAGAATGGTGAACTGACTTCGCTTTGCCTGTGTCTTGCGTCTACTTCGGAGGTCTGTCACCGTAAAAATTCAGAATGCCGGGCATTAAGAGAAATGTCTCTTATGCCTTCGAGATATCTGGTCTGTATGTCATAGACCTGTGCAAAGACAACACGACAGTGGCACCACCGGGATGCACTCAGCCACAAGCTTCTGGATCAATGAGTGGAGGTCGCTCCATCTGAACAGCCTCCAATTGTGGCAAGTGCTTGCCGAGCGAAGCGGCACTGCACCAAAACCGCTCCAACAGGACCTCACTGACATCAAGGGCACTCCCATCTTCTTTTCCCCCGAGATACACCAGCTGCCACGAGGCCATGGGTGGGGAGTGCTTTGCCCTACGCTTCTCAAGCAAATCTAACAAACCTGGCAGTGTTCTGCAACGCCGTGATGCCGTTCGTAGAGCAACACGCTTTGCGCAGGTCGGGGCTATTCTTTCCCTGCCGACATGTGGGCGTTCGGAATCTGCATCTATATGATGTTGTGCAAAGGCCCACGGTTCGACGCCAGTTCGTTTGCAAACATGAGCTCTAGCAGTGCTGCAGGTTCTCATCCTTTCATGAAAGAAGGCAGCACCTTGAGCAGGGCACTCTGTGTCACTAGGAACTCACAAGGTTACAATTGCATTGCAGATATCGACACCTTAGGCTGCGAATGTGACCTGCAAGGAACTCGTGATCACCACACCGGTGTATTTGATGTCACAGCCTCAGTATAGCCTGGCTGAGCCCTCTAGCTGAGTGCACAGGGACGTCGGGGCTGCAGATCATGGAACATGGAACAGAGGTGGGCACAGGGAAGAATGGTAGGAGTTCGACACAAACATGGAACGAAATTCTCGAAGTTGAAGAAGCCTCACAGCCTTATCTTCTACACCTGCGTTTTGGACTGCATTGTCTGAGTGAGTTATGTCAATCTCGGGACTCCGGTTGAAACTGAAATCAGCGGGCTCGGTCGAGAAGCATCAAGTCTTCAAGTTTTCGATGTTCAGAGTGTGTTCTTTGCGTCTTGCTTTCTCGTCGGATGCGACGGGCCCCGGGTTGTCGGGCCGAGCAGCGGCCCGGATGCAAAGGGCGGGAAGAATCGCTAAGCACAGGCACGGTTCCGGGGTCGTTCGGTCCTGGCAGCCCCAGAACAGAGTGCTGAAGATCGCACTGTAGCTGCTTCTCCGACACGATGGCCGACTTGAGATGTCTTGCGGCCGTGCACAACAGACCCAGACCCGTCCCTGTCTATCACTCTGTCTCTTGTAGAGCCGGTCGGCCAGGTCGACTGGTTCACGAGTTGGTCCGCGAGAGACGCGCTGCAGTGGACATTGATGCCTCATCCTGCACAACTCTGAGTTATAGAAAAGCTGCATCGGCTTGGATTTGCATGCTTCTACTATGTCGCGCAACTAAGGGCCAGCGTATCCAGCCAAACGAGTTGATGGAGCACAAGTGGCCCCATGCCAGCATGATGGTGATGTAATGTATGCATGTATGTATGTATGTAGGCAGGCAGGCAGGTAGGTATGTATCATTATGTATCCATGCATGTATCGTGCATGTGTGTGTATATATATATATATATATATATATACAGACATACATATACATACACATATACATATACATGTGTGTATACTCAATATATAAATATTCAATGTTTGTTTTAGAAATTGGTAGACCATGTATGTATATATACATATAAGTATATGTATATAAGTATATGTATATATACATATAATTATATGTGTATATGTACACAAATACATGTATGTGTGTATGCATGTGTGTATGTTCCCGCGGATCAGGGCATGCCTCAGCAGCCAAGGTGCTACTCACACGGCCTCGGTGGAGGTGGGCACTGGAAGGAACACCAGTCGTAGCTTCGTTGGCTTTCCTGTCGCTGGGTCGATGAGACTTGATGCGCCTGTCAAGACCCGCATCAAACACGAGACACGTGCTCGCCGGCACAGTTGCTCTTACCGCAATTCAACGTTCGACATTTTGTCGTGGGCGACAATGACAGCAGAACCAAACAAACTTGGATTGATATTACACCAAAGCGTCAGCGGCATCGAAAATTTTCAGGCCTCCGCCTCCAACATTAATATGAAGCCCCTTGACACTGACAAAAATGCCGATGCCAAAGTGCCCGGACTTCGCCTGGTCCCGCTCCCATTCGCTCTCACAACAGGAACGTTTTCAAGATCGATCCGCTGCTTGGCGACGGCTTTTGGGCACCGGCATGCATCGCAGATTCCGCACAAGATGCGTCCCGCTGAGGTCACAAGAACGTGTTGGACAGCCACGGAAACTGGGTGTCCATTCCGAATTGATGCTGCAAGTCAAGAAAAAACTTCGCGCGTGCCTTCTTGTGCTTTTTTAATCCAGGCCGTTCTGAAGGGCGTCTCGTTGTATCTTGTTTTGATGGTGCATCTCGTGCTTCAACTCAGTAGCGTGGTGTGTGGACCATTGAATCTTGGACAAAGTCGGGAGCAGCCTGGACCTCGCAGAGGATTGCCGGCGACAGTGGAATCGAAAAGCGCATAGCGACGGACAACCGGGCGTTGCAGCACCACCCCTTTGTTCAGTAACTTCTGAAGAGAATGTGAGTCTTCACTACTGTCACTGCTTCTGAAAACTAGGAAACGCTGTCTGGAATGCCTTGATTTGTTTGTTGTGTGCTTGTATGTCACGAAAGCTAGCAGCTAGCCTATCCGCTTCAGCAGTGAGGCTTGGATGCCTGCCAAGACCTGAATTGATTTAATATCTCAACTCATCATATCTCATCAATCAAAACCCCCCTCCCCCCGACGCCTGCTCTCTCCGTTGATGGGATGTGGTGATGCCAGCTCTGTTTCCCACGATGCGGTTGTGGTTGCATATGGGATGCCTGGAGTGCGCCTCGCCAGCTCTGCTCCCCTTGCGTTGCTGCCACGGAGTGATTTCGATCAGGTCTTCGATTTATTTAGCTGTCTTAGGCGTGCAGCATGCGGTTCCATGCGATCCAAAGAGCAGCCGGATTCTCTGTGCGAAGCCCGAGCGCCCAAGCCTGCTGTGCTTCGATGTTTTGCTTGGAGACCGCCTTGCCTCTGTTTCCCTTCCGGTCCCTCCAGCCAGGCCGCGTAGCTTTCGCCCGCCGGCCGTACCCATCAAGTCTGCGATTCACCGGCTTAGGAGTGCAGTCTTTTCCAAGGCATTTTGCACAGTGATGTTGAAAGTCGATATTCTCGACCTTGTTGCTTCATGCTTGCACATGAGACGGCTTTCCAGAGCTGATTGCCGACTCAGGTATAGTTAGGCAGGTAGATAATGCGCACGTCGCCTCTAAGAGATCTTCCCTCGTCAAGCTTGCTCTTCTGAAAATGACGTGAATCTGCCGCAAACAACTCGCAGTAGTCGGCCGATTTGTCCATCACCGCATGCGTGGCAACACCAAAACGATCGTGATTCCTTGAGAGGTAGAGAAGACGTGGCTTGACCACAGCTAGATCAGACACAACTTGGCTTCTTCGTGCTCTTGACTGCTGATACAACCACATTGCATCACATTGCTTTGTCGTCTTCACGGAGTTCCCATCCCTCTATTCGTTAACAATAGAGGTTTAGGTTGTTCGCAGTCTACAGTTGGCCAGGGGTGTCTGCAAGTCTCGCTCTCAAGGGAACTGCGACTGTCGAAAGCTCTAAAACGAACGGGCAGCAAAATACTGGTTCAACCCGAAGAAAAATGCTCAAGTGCCGTATCTTGCCGCGATTCATGCCTGGCAAACCATAGAAAGTGTGGGATTTGCACCTATAGCTTGCATGCAATTTTGAGGTGTTGGCGTACCTCTTGGTGAAATGTAGACGTGGACAAGCCGGTTGATGCAGTATCCTAAACCTGATGGTACCTGGACCCAGGCTTTTGATCATTTGACATGTCAACCGTTCAGGAGGTGATCGGTGGTACAAAATTCTGGTTTCCAGAGCATTTCCCAGCCATGGAGCCAGACGTGCTGCCGGTATTCTATTTCAACGATCTGCTCTTGAGCAATATTGGCGACACGATAGGTCGCCTGAAAACAGAAGTAGTGGCGACAGTTGAAGATGTGCATGGTCTCGACAGTGCAGGTCTCAATTTGTTCGAACCCCGCTACCAGCTCATGTGCAACCGCATGGCCTCGGATCCACGGTTCCTGTTCATGCCCAACTACGAGGACGTTCGACAATATGCTTCTCAATTCTGCTAGTTGTAGCTCGTGATCCGCAGGGTCGTGCTAGCGATGCGAGGACTACCGCTGCGCACCGGGAGACGTTGGATTCGTGGTGCGATTGACTGGATTGTGGCAGCAGGTCCGTTGGAACTTGACTTTCAGCTGCAAGTGTTCCAGTCGTTTGACCATGTATATCTGCTGGAGGCACACGGCAGCAGCTACGGGGTGCAGGGCTACGCCGAGCAGTTGGTAGCGGCAGGGTTGGATCAAGAGCGTATCTACATTTGTAAAGCACTTGCAGCTCCTGATACTTCTGGCGTCTCATTGCGGCAAGACGTCTCGAAAAAGCCGTGTGAAGCTACACCGCCCGGGCAGGTGTCATGCGCTTGGGAGGAACCGGACACCCACCACCTCCACTATGCGCAGTACTGGAAGTTGGACGAAACAAAGGCGTACGACTAGCCGGCGCGTGTCTTTGCCACGTTCATATTCATTTGCCAAAGATCCCCTCAAACCGACTGGTGCATTCGATGCAGCGCACGTAATTGACAGCTGGATGCCTTGTGCAGGCACCGCTCTACCACAAGGTTCCTGGGTAGCCATGGGCCATGGCATTCCCCATTCCCCGTGCCCCCCCATATGTTGGATCTTGTGTTCATGGATCTCTCGCCCCTGAGGAGATTCAAGCGTTTACCCATGGCTTGCTTCAGTGCGGATGGACATCCGACGCTTTGCACGGAAAGGTCCGTTTTGATGATGTCGTCTGTGCATTAGAGGATCCTGGGGATCTGCTCGACGAGCTTAGGTCCCTGAGCAGTACCCCTCAGGGCACATCCGGCGCTTTTGCAACGGCCAGTCTGAGGCACAATCGCACGTAGACCCAAGCCAAAGAACACGCGCGTTTGTCGAGGTGCTTTGTGGTTGCAATTGGCCGGATCGAGCGTGGGTTCTGGCATTCCTCGCTGACGATGACGAGAGGCATTGCCATGCAGTTGTCGATCTAGGCTGCCTCTATCAAGCTTCAGATGTTGGTTTGCACAGGCACTTGAAATGTGGCTGGACGGCAGGGCTGCCAGAATTGGTTTTGCCGCGCTTTACTGGAGACTCTTTTCTGGAGAAGGCTGGAAATTGAGACGGAGTGCCTTGAAGTTTGCCACAAGTAGCTACAGGCCGTACAGGGCTTCCCAGCTCTGCCGCGTGGAACACCATTGCAGGAGGTCGGAGAGAGAGAGAGAGAGAGAGAGAGAGAGAGAAACAGCTCGAGGGCGTGCGACAGCAGGGTAGAATACCTACCGGCTCTTACACCGACACAGACTTGCTCAGCCAGGCGGGGACATGAAACTAGGTGTTAGAGGGGTTCGTGCATAGGGAGCATCGGGGACGAGTGTTTTGATGCAACACCCGACCTGGCTTTGCACCTCACGTCTCACACCAAACTCGGACACAGGCGTAGCGCTCACGCGCAGGGGGGCAGGGTTCCGCGCTCTGCTTCCCACACGCCCTGCAAGCAAGCAAGCAAGAGAGAGAGAGAGAGAGAGAGAGAGAGAGGGAGAGAGAGAGCTGGGTAACGCCCCTACACCATAGCCCTGGCGAAAGAAAGAGACACCCCGGGAGCAAAGCAAAGAGAAAGAGCGCGAGGTATGACGTTTCCGTTAGTCGTGACTGCATGTTTGTGCTAGGGGACCCGCTGTTTGGAGGCCGATCGCAAAGGCAGCATGCACTAGAACAGACAACAGCAACACCACCAACACAAGGCTCGCGGGGACCTCAGCGTGTTACACCCCCTACTTTGGTTGCCTGTGCCCTTACCCTTTGCTTTCCCGGAGCCGCCACAGCACACCATCACCTGGCAGTTAGGGGACCCAAGTTCGTGAAGTGTTCCCCGACTTCTTCAAAGAACCTACCCCACTTGCTGCTGCCCCCAGGGGACCCACTGCCACAGCAGCAAACATCCACCAAACCAACACAGTACAGTAGCAGTACCAAAGCAGCCGAGCCCGGGGGCCAACACCTTGTCCAACTCTGTGAGTAGAGCTTGTAAGTATACTGGCACCGCAGTATTACGCCGCATTTGTCTCCATACGAAAGCCCCCAAAGCTCTGGCGCCCGCCAACAAGCCCGAAGTCAGGGGGCACAAAGCGGAAAAGTACAGCGCAACGAGTGGCGGTCAGAGCAAACGAGCTGGACTAGGGGGGGACTTGTGACTGCGTGCTCGAAGCCCCACGAACGTCTCACCTTCAGACCCAACTTGGACACTCGGCGTACGCGTGAGCGCAGGGTTGGAGGGGTCCTACCTCTCTGCCCCAAAACGCCATGCAAGCAAGCAAGCAAGAGAGAGAGCGATGCTGTTTCCAGAAGCAAGCCCCACGGAAGATGATAGCCATTAGAGTACAGGGACGTGGCTTGCCACTCGGAAACAGGGGGCATACAATAAAAACATCATGTGGTTGGGCGGCCCAATGGCCTGAGGGTCACGACGTGACCCCAAAGCCCAGCAGAAAGAAAGAAAGAGAGCATCGCTTTTGGCATTTTTTTAGGCTCGCCTTTGTCATCTTTGCAGGTGCTGGAGCAGCTGCGTGCGGGCGTGTCATCTGATGCTGATGCCACGCGCTCCCTCCGCTGCGCTAGCGGCGTCTCTGCTTCGGCGGTGTCCAGAGAGGACCACGACCACAACCGCAAGGACCAGCGTCTACCCGACCTGCCAAAGGCCTGGCTGCCGAGAGGGACTTGCGGCTACAGGTTGCGCGAAATGTGTGTGCCTCCTCAGAATCACGGTGCCAGAGATTTCCACAGGCCTCGGCATGGCTCAGGTTCTGTGGGCGCAGCTCTTGAGCGAGGCGAGACTTTCTCGCGTTCGTGGGATGCCGGCGCGGATGCCGACTGTGCGGCTCGAGGTGGACTTCGTCGGTCTGCGTGCCTCGCAAGAGACTGGCTTAAAGAGCTGCTCTGCACTCTGCCCCGCTGCCCCGCTCCGTTTTTTTCCTAGGACCCTTGAGAAGCGATGGCAACGGAGGCTATGTCGCGGCCAAAACAGCCCTTCGGTCAAGTGGCCACCGCACTGCTGCACTGCTGCTTCCTCTTACTGCACCGCGACACACTGTATCACCATGTGATACCATGTGCCTCTTGGGGAGCCGACGGCCTGACATGACGCGACGAACTTCACAGCGAGGTCGAACCATCAATCGTGGTTCTGCTGTCCAACGATTCAAACGCTGTGGACTTGGGCTTTCAGTAAATGGATGCAATGTGCCTGACCCAAGTCAACTTGCATTTCTTGATGCACAGGAGTACGGTCAAGAGCCGCGCTTAGGTTGATATCCGTGCACTGCCTCAGGCACGACGAAAGCAGACGTGACTAGAGTCGACTTGTGAATGGGCCGCAGTTCCAGCAGGACGTTGAGCTATCTGCCGAGTCGGCTCTCGCGTGCCTGTCAAAGCTTCAGTGGCAGTTGAACAGGCACCTGCTGAACTTTTGATGATTTCATGACTCGTTTCATATCGTGATTGCACTCTGATTGCACCGTTTCTGATGTTGGCAAGGCTTCGCTTGGCAATCATCCATCGGGCTCGGTCTAAAGGTTCTCCCTGTGCTACTCGTGTGCGAAGATCTTGCAAGAGCTGACCCGCGAAGGCCAGCGGCCCCTCGCCATGCTTGAGGCCTGTGGGCATAAACGACCGAGCGTTGCACTGTGCTTTCGCATGTGCCAGCACTAGCGGCTCCAGGATGACGTTGCGCAGCAGATGTGTGACTTCGTGTCTGCCTCTGCGATCTAGGGAAGTGTGGCGGGCATTCGTGAAGCGTTGACACATTGCTCCAGTTGATGAAACCTCGGATGGCTGTTGCTTGTCGCGGGCTGCCAGCTTAGGTCGCTTATCGTCCAGTGCCAGCCCGGGATGCCAGGACACGAGTCCCGTGAGAGGCACACTCCGAGCGCTCGGAGATCATGAAGCCGACGGCTTGTCGACTCCAAAGCGAGTTGTCCATGGTCCATTGCCACAGATGTCGTAGACCGTTGGCCCGAAGAGATGGTCGGTTTATGCTTCGCTCCACGAAGCTGTTATCGATGTTGTGGTTGTGAAGTGTTCATGCGCAAACTGCCGGAGCATGAGATCTGGCGCTTCGCGCAGCGTTGGTTCTGGCTGCCGCAAGCACCTGTAGTAAGTCTAGTATCTGACAGTCATTAGTTCATTGGGAATGTTTCGGAGAAGTTGCAGCCGGCGGATTAATTCTTGGGCAGGCACATCGTAATGCACGAAATGGATGAAATGGCACGGAACAGCAGAAACTCAGAGTCTGACTTCAGGATGTTTCACGTGAGCGTAGAAGACTTCGGCGATGAAAGCCCCGCTTGAATTGGCACTCGTCGTGCCGTGGAAGAGCAGCGCGGCGTCCACGGCGTGCAGCCCAAGAAGGGCAGCCGTCAGACAGCGCCTGCAGCGCCTGCTGAGAATCGATGGAGGCCCTGGTGCCCTTGCGATACCTCAAACTCCGCATAGCGAAGTGTGCAGGTCTTTCTTGGTGTCGGCCTGGTTGCCGGCGAGATCTTCAGATACAACCGGCAAAACTTCGCCTTCGACCAAGACCAACGCTTCCGACGACCCTTGTCGGACAGAAGAGACAGTTTCATTTTCTTGACGTTAGAGTAACCGTTAGAGTAGATGTTGCGAACTGTTGCGACATTTCGCTGGCCGCGGGCAAGGCGATGAGCTTCGACTCAAGATGCAGGTGGAGCGTTTCCGCCTCTTCCGCCAGGACATTCGAGACCTGGTGGAGCTGACAGTAGGAAAGATGGACCTCTATCATATGGTTGGACCTTCAGCAGCAAGATGTGTAAAGGCTTGTTTGAAGCTTGAAAGGCTCCCGTGATGCTAGCAGCAAGTGTGGCGCTGAAGCCGCCTGTTTGCGGCTTCAAGGTGCGCTCTTCATCCGCATGATCAGCATCTACTACTCGGAAGGCTTCTTTGAGGAAGCTCCTCCGGTCTTTCTTCAAGTAGCTTATTATCTATCACAGGCTGGGGTTGCCTTATCAGCATCCACGAATCCAGCTAAGTGGAACTGTGTCGGGGAAAGACCGTTGTCTCTGATCAGGCCTGCTCATTAGTATACCTGCTGATGGCAATCTGGCTGTCCATGCATGCCTCGATCAAGTCGCACAGCTACGCAACCCGCTTACTTACGAGGTCGGGGCTTTTCCACTCTGTTTCAGCATGTTTCAGCAAGAAGGGTCCTTCATGTCTTGCCCTGCATTGGCCGTTTGTCAGGTTTGTTCGGCTGCCCATCCCCGGCTGTGATCAGCTAGACCTGCTGAATGCACGCCTCTCTGACTGCGAGATGCAAGCAACTCAGCTGCTTCGCGTTCCCTTCCTACATTCAGGACCACGGGTTGTGCAAGGGATGCAGATCCGCATGAAGGTGCTCGGCATGTGAATGGTCGCAGGAAGAAATACTTGGAAGGAGCGCGCGACAGTGGATGTTCCGCCTCAGGCCTGCCTTGAAACTTCGTGACACTGCTCTCCCTTGCGGAAAGACTGTCAGGGCGCGGTTTTGGCAGAGAATAGAGACAATGTCCCCAAGCCGACAGGGGATGAGCTTGAGACTCTTGGAGAATTCCTTGGAGCTTTGCTTCTGAGAGCTGCAACGAGCCACCTGAGTATGCTTGGGTCGTAAGGGATGGTGAGTTTGCCTACGGTGGCGAACACAACATGCTGGGCAACGAGGAGCGAGAAGACGAGAAGATGCTAAGCTGAGCCAACAGCCGCGTCTCAAGCAGGAGCTGCTGCATGCCGTGGAGTTCCGAACGAGACGACACGTGCAGCTCTTCCGACAGCTCCAAGCCAGGCAGGTAACGCAATTACACCTCGCAGCTGTATAACATGTATGACCCAAAGTCTCTGCATCTGTCTGCGCGGTCGGTCCGAGGTGGCAGTGCTTTGACGCATATTCCCGAGTGTGCATGTCCTTGGGCGTGCCTCTCTTGCAGAAACATAGTAGCAGGAGGACAGCCGGCGCGCTAGTGTGTTCATTACGCACCAACGCACCGGCTCTTAGGTGCGCCACATGCTGCAGTCGATCAACTACTACTTGTTGGGGCTTTGCCACTGGGCAGAAGCCAGGTCTTGGGAAGGTTGCCGGAAACCGTCGCTTCCGTCCAGTTCGTATTCAGGCATGGTGCAGACGTACAATCCCGTGGTGGGCTACATGCTGACGGCCGTCTTCCAGGAAGCCCAGAGAGTCGCTAGCGGCTCCCAGCGAGTAGCGCTCCTGCGGAGGCCCTCGCTTGCAACATGACGATCCTCGACGTCCACGGCCTGCCATGCCTCGGGACCGACAACGTTGCACCACGTTGCACAAAAATCCGTCTGTTCTAATTGCGGGCACCCGACTTTAAACGAGCCAGAATTTCAGCATGTGGATTGAATGCCAAGTCTGGAGGGTGAGTTGGTGGTGGAGCCTCAAACTATGGAACTCGGAAAATGTCTGCGGCGAGTATAAAGGTATCAGACCTTGGGGCATCCAGGACATGCATGGTCGGTGGGCCATGTCAATGTCATCAATAGCTGTCGCCCGCAATGCGGCCGACGTTGTGGTAGGATAAACAGGCCGCTTAATCAAGGCGGACAGATGAGAACACGCCTGACATGTGTACCTTTAAAGGTCAACATGTACATGTAGCTGCCAGCCTACTGCCTGCCGACACCCTGTGCCGAGCCACTATTAAACTACTTTCACGAGGAAAGATGTGACACAAGTCGACCCTTTGTAGTACTTTCGTAATGCTACTTGTGAAAATCGCAGTCTTCATGTTCTTCAAATTCAATTGCAATGGCAGTTTTCCCCGTGGTGCAGGGGACTGGATTTGTCCTTCATCGGTTTCCTGCCTGCCATCGCCGCATGCGTGTCACTGACGCTTGCGAAGCGGGAAGACGGAGAGCTCGTCCCACACAATGCCTATATGATCTCCATTGCGATCTATCCGCTCGAGGCTTGGCTGCGACCTGGCTTTGGTTTCTGTTCCGTTTGGGAACCGGCGCCTCCTCAAAATAAGGAAATTGCTTGGTTTGAGCTGCTGCACTGGGTGGCATCGCCAGTTTCAGGCGAGTCCAGCATTCCTCGACACTTCCGAGCAGTTCTGTTTATGGAAGCTTGGCTTCGTAGTTCTGTCATGTTCTGTCGGGTATTATGTTGTTGCTGTTGGGGCTATTTATTACTGCTGTTGTTGCCGTTGGTGCTGCTGGCGCTGTTGTCCCGGGTGCTGTTGTTCTTGTTGCTGCTGGTGCCGGTGCCGGTGCTGGTGCTGCTGCTGTTGTTGTTGGAACTGCTGCTGTTGTTGCCGTGGCCGTTGCTGTTGCTGTTGCTGCTGTTGTTGCCACCGCTGCAGTTGTCGTTGTTGTTGGTGGTGGTGATGATGTGGGCGGCGGTGGTGCTCTTGCCATGGTTACTGTTATGATTCCGTTGTTATGTGTCTTCTTTTATTGTTGGCGGTGGTTGTGGTGTTGGTGTTGTTGCTGTTGGCGTTGGTGTTGGTTGTGTTGGTGTTGGTTGTGTTGGTTGTGGTGTCGGTGCTGCTTGTAGTGTTGGTGTTGGTGGTGACGTTGTTGGTGGTGGTATGTGGCGGTGGTCGCGGTTATCTTGGTGATCGTGGTGGTTGGTGCTGGTGTCGGTGGTGGTGTTTGCAGATTTGTCTGGTGGTGGCGGTGGCGGCGGTGGTGGTTATAGGTGTCGTTGTCATTGTCGTCGTCGTCGTGGTGGTGGTTGTGGTTGCGGTTGCGGTTGTTGTTGGTGTTGGTGTTGTTGCTGTTTGCTGTTTGCTGTTGCTGCTGCTGCTGCTGCCGCTGCTGCTGCTGTTGCTCTTGCTGTTGCTGCTGTTGGTGGTGTTGCTGCATGTTGCTGCTGCTATTGTTGTTGTTGTTGTTGTTGTTGTTGTTGTTGTTGTTGTTGTTGTCGTTTGGGATGGTGCAGTGGCCAACATGTGCAGTCTTACGTGGCAGACTCCACGGAGCCTGCCTCTGCAATGTATGCGAATCGGACAGACAGCGACTGTTTGCCGCTAGCATCTGCTAGCCGAATCCGACTCGTGGCAAAGAGCGACAACACCTCCAGAGAAGATGTGCTTGGACGTTTTGTTCATAAAAGGCGAAGGAGGGTAGCCTGTCCTTTGGCAATATTGCAGGCTATCGCATGCTCCACCCCGAGTCCTTCAGGGCAGTACGGGAATCCGTCTGTTGTCGTCTACTTGCGGCACCGGGCTTCAGGCCAGCATAGTCGATGAACTCCTTGGAGAGAAAGGACGTACTCCGCAGAAGCGCCATGGCGCCATGCTTTATCCCGCCGCCTTCAGTCCATTCGCCGAGTTGAGGGAGCGTGGCCTGTGGCCAAGAGGATCCGAAAATGGGAGGCTCATTGTGGCTCAAACGGCAAGCGATCATTCCGAGGATGTGTTTGGAGAAGCAGAAGATCCTGCAGAGATAGCTATGGCAAAGAAGGGCACAGTGCTCTCTGCCGTAAACACCTTGGCTTTGGTGGAGAAGGCACAGCGGAAGGGCTGCCCGGGCGGGCCATGCCTATGCTTGGCAAAGCAATCAAGTTGCAGAGTGCCTGCAAGGTTCAAATCGTTCAAGACGCACTCCAGCGTGCGCAAGCAGCTTTGCGCCGTTGGGAGGAAGTCCCTGGCATGTGGCTTACGTTGCGGCAGAGACTTGTCTTAGTGATCAGTTAAGTGCTTAGTGCGTACGATTGGTACTCCGTGCGCTGGCCCAGAGCCTGTAACGATTGAGGAGAAAGGAACTGGAGAAGCTCGGAGATTACCTGCGGCTTGAAATGGACTCCCGGCTCGGACCATCTTGTGTCAGCTTCGACTGCGTTGCTAAGACTAGGATTTCCAACGATCGTAGGAATGGCACTGGGTCGTGCTGAGGC